TGCAGTCCCCTGCTGGCCCCTCCTGGATGTGTGCCAGAATTATTTTCTCAAACAGCTTGCCTAGGATCGAGGTAAGGCTAACTGGCCTATAGTTTCCCGGGTCCTCCTTCCTCCCTTTTTTGAAGATGGGAACCACGTTGACCCTCTTCTAGTCCTCCGGTACCTCTCCAGAGCACCACCAGTGCTCGTAAAGCCTTGCCAGGGGACTTGCAATGACCTCAGCCAGTTCCTTTAGAACTCTAGGGTGGAGATCATCCGGACTGGCTGACTTGAAAACGTCCAGCCCCTCCAGAAGCTCCCTAACTAAATCCTTGCTAACCCTTGGCCCAGGTGTGCCTCCCCTGGGGCCCGAGTAGGGCCCAGCAGGGAGGTGGCTGTTCTGGTCCCTACTTAGGAAGACGGAGGCAAAGAAATCTTTAAACATGTTAGCTTTGTCGTCTGGGACAGTGATCTGAATCAACAAATCGAATCATTGTCCCCCAAGTTGGGCTGAATCCGAATCTGAATTCAATATGGCCTGCTTTGCACACCCCTACTAATAACACTGCATAATAATGTATCACAGCATGGACAGTGCTAATAGGCTACCAACAGGCATCACTAAAAAGGCGTTTGCCAGTGCTACTGTGTAGTAACTGTAGCTACTGCACTTTTACTTAGGACTTCATTAAGCAAGTACTAAATAAAATGTGCAGTAACTACTGTGCATTAATGAATGTATAGATGCAGCCAGAGGTATCATGAGGAAGGCACTGGAGAAGTACAAGAACATTATTGTATCGTGCCACTATCAGGCGAAACCAAACAGGCTAAACCAAAATTCTGCCTCAATATCCCTGGATTTTGGAGCATTCAAAATCTAGATTGGGATTCCTCCCTGGTCCTGCAGAAAGAAAAGAAAATCATGCACAACCTGAACCTGAATTCTGCAGCTCGAGTTCATCTCTATTGAATATATATTTTTAACTTCAAATCTTCTCTCCTTTAATCACCACGTTTTTATGAATTTTATATTTGCAAACATAGTCTACCATCTTTCTTACCAGCACACCAAGGATTAAAGAGGATGTCAAAGTCTCCAAGGCACCGCTGAAATGTGCGATCACAAGATGTGATGCTGATATTGAGAATGTGGCGGCCAATACAGGCGTCTATTGGTGGAAACACACTGATGTTTATACATCGTTGCTGATGAGGTTTGTAGCAAGCACTCCAGCAGGTTTGATCTATACATCTGCCCAGAGGAAAGGTACACTTCGTCTCCTTGGATTCACAAGGTCTGAGGCCTTTTCAGGAAAGTCAAATACAAATAAAAATAAAATCAAATAAGCCATAGTCAGCAGGCACATACTTTGGGATAAACATCATTTGTATTTTAAGTGTCATTACTTTTATGCTGGATTTTCTTAGTGCTGTTTACAATTGTAGAGAATTGTTGAGGGGAAGATTACAATACTACTTGAGGTACATACAGAATCTGACTGAGGGAAAATTAATTCATCTATGCATTTTGCAAATGAGAGAACATCACTTATCAATAAGGAAGCAGGAAAGGTTCTTTGGAATTTTGGGATGACTACCTGTCTCTACAGTGAATGAGATCTTGTCCATGGAGTCATCCCATTCCCGGTTTTGGAAATGCACATATAAGTCAAAGGCCTGGCCTCTCCTCACTGTCTGTCTGTCAGTACCGAAGAAGTGGGTGTTATGGCATTTGCAGTTCTGAGGACAATTCAAGTCGACATCCCCCAGCTGAATAACTGCAGGAAAAGTGAGTAAACACAGAGAGAAAGCAAACAAGACATGTAATTGAGGACACATTTGGCTGATGGCAAAATACCCTGGGGCAGAAAGAAAAACTGGATACACTGCCTGGCAACTGATCAAAGCAATATAGGCTCATCCTGAGGAGCTAGCTAAGGAACAGGGTGTGGCAGAGTCTATGAAAATACTGTGAAACTGTTTATTGGGATTAAACTGGGCGTTAAAAAGCAGTTTCATTTGAAGTATGTGTCTTCTCTCCCTATTCCATGTCTTACACCAGTGGTCTCCAAACTTTTTTGATTGCGCACCCCTCTCAGTAAAACATTTCTGAGCACACACCCCCAATATACGTATATTTATTTATAAATTATATACATGTATTATTGTACTAATATATTATGTACATTATAAAACATAGATAAAAAATAGAAATTAAAAAAGGATGATATAAAGGTGAAATAAACAATTTTTAAAAAATTATTTTATTTTATTTATTAATGGTACAAAAGAACCTTTTGCTCTCACTAAAAAAAATTAGTAGTAGTAATAATATTTTTTAGTGAGAGCAATGTGATTGAATATGCTTCATTATTTTTTAAAATCTTGGTTTAACACTTTGTGATACAGCGATTCGAAGGTCTGGTTCTAAGTTCAGTTTATTTCAATACTTGGTTTTAATGACTGTCATAGCTGAAAAAGATACCTCACAAAGATACATAGATCCAAATTAGATCGTCATTGTTTTTACCTTGTAATGTGGCTGACGAAGAGCTCATACTAGGAGTAGGAAAAGTGTCAGCTCTGCCATTTTCTTGCTGTTCCCCTGTGCTCGCATTATTAGTATTGTCTTCAATCCGCGGTTTCTTTGCAGGAATCTTTTTAAGCCACTTGTCCATTTTGTGAGGGTTAGTTTAGTTAAAACTAGATAATATAATTCGTAAATCCACTTAACCAGGCACACACAAACTGCAATATGTCGCAATACGCTGAAAGCGAACAAACACTTCTTCCCTCAGGATACCTCACGTACCATACGTGACACGTGACCATCCAACATACGGACCGAGTGAGGGTGTCAGTATCAATCTGTATATTAAATATTAGTAAAGCTTAATTTCTTTCTTATTTTTTTTAGATAAAAAATAAATAAAAATACAAGTTCTAATATTTTCTTCACGTACCCCAATGGATCATCTTGCGCACGCCCTGGGGTGTGCACACCCCACTTCGGAGACCACTGTCTTACACAAGAAAATGTATGTAATATTTTGGTTTATAAAATTGTGTCAGGAGACCCAGGTGCCATGCTTTTATTTGGTACATAACTGACACCAGGCAGATACATACTGTTATCACTGCTTTAAAAATGGATTTTGTGATATAATACCATTTCAAATTCCAATACTTCCAATTTTATTTAAATAATTATTATTGTTTAAACAATTATTATCATACTATTCCAAATGGATTTAAACAATTATTTAAAAGTACCTAAGTTACACCACAATTAATTCTTTATTCCTGCATGCTAATACTAGTTTAGAGTTAACATTTATACAAATAAATAATAATATATGGTGGAAAAGTAAGCAAATGATGTCACTGTAGCTGTACGTGACAATGAATTCTTGTGGGGCAACTTTGCTGAATGATAAACTAGAGGCAAACAAATCTCTGTAACTTATCACTATCTAGATCTACATTTGCAAAAACGACTGGAAATTTTGGGTGCCTCTATTTGTGAGTAGTCAACTTGAGACGAAAAGTAGGTCTCATTAAGGAAGCCCAGGTAAGTCTTTAGGAAGTGAGGCACCCAGAATGTGCTGTCAGTTTTGAATATTACATTTTTTTGCAGTACAAACAAGATGGTAGTTCATTAAAATATGGAGAAGTTGGTGAAAATTCCGGGAAAATATTTAAAGAACTTTGTAAGTTTAAGTCAAAATTTGAAAAAAATTACCAGCTCTGATGACTTGACTAAAAACTTGAATGGCAAGTCAGACAAGATTATCCAGTCAGACAAGGTCTGTATGTCAGCAGCTTTAGCAGAGTGACTCAGTCTATGGAGATGGGAATCAGAGTTCCTTTTTCATTATAAAAGTTTGGCCTAATTTTTAAAACTGCTGATCACTCTCACTTTAACTGAAAACAATCAGAGCTATGACGACTGAACACCTAGTGCCATGTTACCTTCCGTGCTACTTTCCTTGTAAACTGCTAGCTAAATTCTGTTTGGTCACACAGATATCCTAATATATGCAGCTATCCTGAGTGGTTATGAATACTCCTGCAAATAAGGAAACTGAAATAATTTCTTCCATTTATCCTGGTTGTTTCACTGTACCAAAACCATTACTTTAACCTTGCCTAAACTGTCAACTAGACAGCCCTCACCTTAATT